TGACCACCAGCCATCACTGAGCCCAGGGGCTGTCCTCTCTGCAGGGACAGGTGACCACCAGCCATCACTGAGCCCAGGGGCTGTCCTCTCTGCAGGCACAGGTGACCACCAGCCATCACTGGAGCTGCCTGGGAGGCAGCAGTGGTGGCACTGGAGGGGCTGCACAGCTGCAGTGAGGAACAGAGAGCAGAGCCCTTGAGCCCCTTCCCCAGCCTTGGAGAAGCAGTGAGCCGGCAGGGTTGGGTTGCAGGATTAGGAATGGGATGGGCTGGGCTGTGTCCTGCACGAACGGGCCAGGCCAGCCAGCTGTGGCTGAGCCAGCACTTTCGTGTTTGTTTGGGCTGTTAGATAACTTCGAAAGCAGAAGCTGGAAGGGCTGGCGGCTGAACAGTTTGTTCTTTCCGACTTCCACACACTGCTGCCTCAAAGCTCAGTGCTGTGCCGGGTTTAAACCACAGCCCTGCTGTGCCGGGCTTAAACCACAGCCCTGCTGTGCTGCTCGGAGCCGCCCTGTCCCCCCATCCTCACCCCAGTGTGTCCCTGGAGCCCCTCCAGCCCTGCTGCCCCCCAGCCCAGGGCCAAGCTCTGCCTCTCACGCTGCCAGAGGAGGAAACAGAGAAGTGGGAACACTGCCCTGGGGGGGCTCAGCCCCACAGCCCTGGGCTGGCACAGGGCAAGGGGCTGCTGCCATCTCCCGGCCACGGCCCCAGCTCGGCTCCCAGCAGGAACTGGTGCTCCAAAGCAGTGAGGATGCTCAGTGCTCCGGGCTGTCCTGGCTGCAGGAGGGCAGAGCCCCCAGACCGCTCCCCGTGGGCTTAGCAGCAGCTTCACAAAGGCAGGACCTGGCTGGAGTGCACATCACAGCAGAGGGATGTGGCTGCTCTGTGCTGAGGAGGAGCAGAGCCCGGAATGTTTTATTTACCACTTTGCAATCCCTTTGCTCCATGGAGGAGCAGAGCCATGGCACAGAGGGACAGATAAGCTATCGCTGCTGTGCTGGGCTCATCAGAGCCACCTCTGTACTCCAGGCCTGCAGGTGTGCTTGAGGCTGAGCAGAAGAGACACTCCTGACATGGAGAGCACTTGGCTTGGCTGCTATCCATGATGGGGGGGGCCCAGCAGAGCTGTTGGCTGTCCTAAGCAAGCTGCTCCTGCCCTAGAGAACTGGCCTTGCATGCCACAGGAGGGACGAGATGTGCTGGGCTTGTGCCGGATCCATTTGACTAGACTCTGTAAATGATTTTTTACATAACTCTGTTTTCTGATTGCTTCCAGCACCTTCCAAGTGGAAGCCACAGGCATCCACAGTGCGCATGCCTGGCTGCTATGAAGGGATGAAGGCGCTGGTTTCCCCACTCGCTGTGAAGATCTGCCCATTCCTGCAGTGAAACCTGGTGAGGCAGCAGCGATGCTCCCAGGTCAGAGCCAGGGTACTGGCACAGGGAGCAGGCTGTTCCATTACTGCCACAGAAGGAGCACACCAGCTATCCCACAGCTGGGACAGGCCCAGGGAGGGGACACTGGCTTCCCTTGCTCTGGCTGTTTCTACCAGGCTTCCCCGGCCACATCCCTGCTCCCCAAAGCAGCAGCTGCTGGGAGCCCAGCAGCCCAAACCCCAGTCAGTGGCACCAGCTATACCCAGTGTATCAGGAGAAACCCCATCCTGTGCTGTTCCCTGCAGGGGAATGATTCCTGGGGCCACAGGCAGCTGTCCACCACAGGCAGTGGTGGAGAGCATCCTGCTGGTGTAGGGAGGGGTCCCTGCACCCCCACTGGGAGCTTGGAGGAGCCCAGACGTTGGATGTGGCTCGGGAACACGGTTCCCACGCGTTCAGCCCTCGCAGGCAGCAGCACATTGCTCCTGCCTGCAGGAAACCTGGGAACGTGGCTGCCCGGGCTGGCTCCCTGCAAGCGGATGTTATTTTAACTCCTAGTTCCTCTCTCATTTTTGCCAGGCAACGACTGGTTCTGCTGTTGGCTAAGCAATAAAGAGCCCCTTTTTTTGTTTCTCCTCCACTATTTCTAGGCTATTTTTAGGCTTTTCTCAGTAGGTCTTTGCCACAGACACTCAAAGGGCTGGAGAAGTTGTCCTGCCTCGCATGCCCAGAGGAAGGGGAGATACGTGCAGGGCAGGAGATCCAGTCAGGGCTTCCCAATCCAGATGAGGAGGCACATGCCTTGGAGCACCCGTGCTGCACACAGGAGCAAGCTCCTCTTCTCCCACCCAGCTGTGCTGTGCAGGCCATGGCCTTCCACAAGGGAATTGTGATGCCCACATCTTCCCAACCGTGCCAGCAGCAGCCTTCACCACTCCAGAGCCCAGCCAAGGCAGCTCCTCCATGTGGTGCCAGCGGGGAGGTCTCTGTGCTGGTTCCTGGGCAAGGTGAGGTGCAGAGGCATAGGCAGGGATTTGTGTGGAAGGGAAGTTGATGGAACAGGCTGTGGGCTTAGGGTGACCCCAGGAGGGTCACACATGGCTGTAGCACTGCAAGAGCTACCAGAGCTGAAGTCAGCCAGTGCCATGTTCAGGCTCGGGATAGAGACCAGGGCCCATGAGGGGGAGAGAAGAATGTGAGGGACACAGCACCTGCCAGCACTGTGGAGTACCTGTGCCATGGCCAGAATCCCCCACTGAGAGTGGGGGGATGGGAGTGATGCTGCCCTGTCCCCAAAACAGAGGACATGACATAGCACATCCCAAACCCCTTGTCATGCCAATGCTCAGGAGAAGGAAGTACTCTTTGGGCAGCAAAGAAAGAAACAGCCTGTGTTTGCACCAGGCAGGGACATTCCAGTCTAAGGCTGGGATCCTCTGCATTCCCCCGCCCACCCTGCAAAGGCTGTTTTGTCCCTGGGGGCAAATATACTCTCCACTTGGGGCAGGGGGTGTTACTTTATGTGCCCCCACAGCCCTTTTTGTCTCCTAGAAAATTGCAAAACCCTGATCTTCGCTGCAGCTCAGAGACAGAACCTGCTGGAAGGCAGACGCCCACGCCGGCGCTGGGCCAGCTCGAACCTTCCAGGCTGTTCCGCAGCCCCGCAGCTGCTTGGCAAGGACATCCCTGACCCTCCCACGTCACAGCCCCGAGCAGCCGGGCCAGCTGTGTCCAGGCACTGCGCTGGGGCTGCTGTTTTTCTGCTTTATCAGGATCGTGCTGAGCTCGGCGGTGAGTGGGTCATGTTTGTGCAGTGGTTTGTGCAGGATGATGGTTATGTAAGCGCTCAGGGTTACTCCGGAGCTGAGGCTGTGCCTGCCCAGCGCTTGTGAGCGGCTGCGGCGATGGGGACAGCGGCACACGCAGCCCTGCGCTCCTGTCCCTGTCCCTGTCACTGTCCCTGTCCCTGTCCCTGTCCCTGTCCCTGTCCCTGTCCCTGTCCCTGTCCCAGCTCGGTACGAGGTGCACAGCAATGCCCGGTGCTGCCGCCGATCCGTGAGCTCGGGCAGCGCTGTCCGAACGCTGCAGCAGCCGTACTCATCCTCCGTGCTCACCCTGCCGTGCTCACCCTGCCGTGCTCACCCCTCAGTGTTCACCCCGCACTGTTCTGTTCACTCTGCCGCGTTTACCCCGCCGTGTTTACCCCGCAGTATTTACTGTGCCGTGTTTACCCCGCCGTGTTTACCCCGCAGTATTTACTGTGCCGTGTTTACCCCGCACGGGCTCCCGACGCTGCCAAAACCGCGCTGCCTGCGCCTGCTCCAGTGACCCAGCTCCTGAAGGTCGCTGGCTGGAGGCCGGGCTCGCGTTCCATCTGCCTGCTTTTATTATTGATTGTCCTTATCACTGCTTGAGAGAACAGCGTGTCCCAAACACCCGGGGGCAGGACGGGGCTCGCTGCCGCTGCTGCTGCCTCTTGCCCGAGCTCTGTCTCTCCCCAGTGCAGAGGTGCAGGCGCCAGAAACTGCGCTGCCACTGTCACCTCTG